CAACATATAAAAAGAATAAGTGTACTAAGGTCTGAAAACAAATATTACAATAATAAATCATTGTATTACTTCTGACGATGTTTCACTCTTCTTTCTGAACAGCGACCGATGAGACGATGACTGTCGTATTGATGCCTCCGCGAAAATTGGGGAAGTTGATTTTAAGCAAACAACCAAGAATTGATCGTTGAATCTTTAAATCCATTGACAACACCTCTCACATAAACTAATCCCGGTGGTTTGAACTGATTCGGCGCTCTCTAGGATGAGTGAAACTGCTCACACCTCCGATGAGAGGTTTTCTGGTGTTGAGATCACTTTAATATGACCTGTTTCCTCCGTACTTGTGTGGGACCCTTCAGCAGTCCGCACCTACCACAGGGTTCGAACTCATGGCATTTTGGTTACAAGGCGAGCTCGCAGATCATCGAGGTACTGGTACCCACCCTATCGAATGGCCCATGAATTCTGACTTCTGCCAATTCAAAACCAGTACTCGAAAATTAATTTAATGCTCACTAGAGACTGGTCCTTTTCAGGCAGTTGCCTGGGTTTCTAGTAGGAAACAGTGACCAGTATGATACAGCAGGTCGTAGGAGAGGACAGTGACTGGCCGAAGAAAACATCGCTAAGTGGTCGCGCTATGTCACGAATTTGCTGAAGTTAGAATTCATGGGCTGGTCAGTCGATCGGGTGGGTCCCAGTGGCTTAATAGTCTACGAGCTTGCTGGTGCTGTAACAGGATGGTATTGGGTTCAAACCCTGGTGGTGGTCGCGTACTACCGAAGGGTCCCAAACCAAGATGGAGGAAATAGCCGTCCAGTACTCCGTGTTGGTTTGCCAATGGTTCTCTAGGGGAGGGTGGCGCTAGCTGATCAGTAGATATGGTGGTGGTCACTAAGTTGAATCGCCCAATTCTGCAGGAACAGCAATATGCAATTTGACGCTCAAGATTTTTCTGATTTTTATGATGGCCTAGATCTTTATCTTGAAAAAGATAATAATGAACACCTAGACAGATCATGCGTCTGCCTTAAATATATACCATTCGCCCAGCCTATTTTTGAGATGCAACCACGTGGGCTCTGCACAGATTTATGGGGCATCTTATAAATTAACTTGCTGTCCATTGTCGGATCTTTGAATACCACTTCACAATGTCTCATCTCATTCATTTTCTAATAACGTCTTTACTTGATCCTCCTTACATTCCATTAAACCTAACATTTTAAAGCTCTATATGAATTCGGTTAGACTCATTCTTTTCCTATTCTCTGTAGGGTACGGTTGTGCACCAAATGCACAAAAAAGTATAAAATAAAAACAACCGGCGTGAGGATAAATGTATTAAAACCAAAAGTGGACATCATGATAGTAAGACCTATATGGGCAGCATTATACATTGCGAATGAACGTTGTCAGCCTATGAATTATATGGATTACTGTTGTATTTCATTTATGATACTTGCACTTACTTATTTCATTACATTTTAATGATTCACCTTAGCACTTTTACTTTTCTAAAACAGCATTCAATCCCTTGTGAAAGTTACACTTACGTCAATATTGTTTGGATATCGTATGCCTACAACCACGGGTTGGAAATGAAACGAAGTCGATTTTCCCGCGCAACCTGGAGGACAACTGTACAATTCAATAACTATGCTGCCTGATTCAGAAAATGAGTGCATTTATATATATGTATTCAATATTATCCTGTTTAAACATTATTAAATTGTAGACAAGCTATGATTTGATATTATATAAAACTTGATTGTGCCTGTAAAAATGGAAAGCATTCTCATGTAAATTACATGTTTATATGAAAATACACATTATTATTAGTGAAAGAGATTATAGCCCATGATGAAATCCTCCATCCAATCAAACAAAATCCCAACAAAATTAATACTTAAAAATGAGCGAAAATTATCAGTACTACGGATTTTTCTTGTCACATTCAGTGCTGAATTTCAAATGCAGATTACAAATTCAAGCTTTTTATATGAATTCTGCATACCTACTGTCACATATATAATTGTATTAAAATTAGCCAGAATCGAAGTTGATTGACCTAATTGGACATTTTCTCATTCATACTTGGTTCAGAGTAAATTTTAGGTCATTTATGCGTGATAATATGACACTTCAAGTTGACTATGTTTACTATTATATAATTTAGAGAGATTTTTCTTTTTAACCTAACCAATTAATCGAATGAAATTAAAGCATCTAAGAAAAGGTGACAACTAAACTATTAACTGATTATTTGAATTGTAAATAAACGAGGCCAATTTCATATGTGTGACATTATACTTGAAAATTTATGGCCCAATAGAGTAAAGCACCATTTTTCAAGAGTTGGTCTGTAAGGATTAGTTTTGTTTTTAAGAGTTTGACCATGGAATTATATCAGCTAGAGAACCGTTGAAAACAAGCAGGGAATACTGGGCGGTTGTTCCGTCCTAGTTTGGGAATCATCGGCAATAAGCACCCAGGAACTTCCGGTTACAAGGCTAGCCAGCTTGTATACTATTCAGCAAATGAGACCCAATTTCCCAATGGTCATCCCAGGAATTTTAACTTCTACCAGTTCGTGATGTCCCGCCGATGACACTGGCTGGTAGTCGTGCTAAATCATGAATGGGTAGAAGTTAGAATTCATAAGATGGCCATCAAATCGGGTCCCAGTGGCTGAATGGTATGCCAGCTTGCCTTGTAATCAGAAGGTCTTGGGTTCGAGCACTGCCGATGGCTGAGCACTGCCGATGATTCCCAAACTAGGACGGAACAAATGTCGAGTGCCCCCTATTTGCTTTCAATGGTTCTCTAACTGATATCAATCCGTGGTCAGACTCATAAAACATCAATACAATAAAAATTCGCAACGTGATATGGCAATTAATATCATTGTAGAGGTGGATTTAAGAAGTCAGCACTTTCCAGTATACCCATTCGAACATTAGGGAAAACATGAAATTTAGCAAAAATTTCTTTTCGATTCTTTCAATAACTTTTCTTTTCTTCGTCAAATAAAATGACTACAGTATATCACTAAACTTTCTTTGAATTCATATTGTCAGAAACCTCTTTTGTGGACTGCTTGTCTGACATCATGGAGTTTAAATACTTACTGACAGAAAATGCTTATTCAGAGGGTTCTGTCACTTTTTTTATTTTAGCAGAATCAAATAAAGATAAAATTTTCAATACTTTTCAGTTCATAAGTCCCCCAGACCCAAACAGTAGGACGGTTTCCTCTCTGATGTGATCAGTACTTTCCGTGTGGTGACATTTCCGACTAATTTTTATGCTTCAAAGAGGTTGATTGTTTTATTTTTATTTCTGAGACCTACTACTGGACTATGATGAGTCAAGCACATTTCATTTATCCCACCATTATCTAACGGATTTTAGACAGACACGGCCTCAATAATTCACTCTCATGGTTAATAGGACCGAGTGGCTAACAATTTGTTATACTCTAAAACATCATCATAGCCGTTTTAAACATTTCGGTTTTATACAACACTAGACAACGATAAAACGTGCCGTTTCACATGAAACTTTAAAAAGAACAGTTTGGCACTATTTCTCCGAGTTCAACATAATAAGTGAAGTGCATTCGAATTATCTCGAAGCTATAGGAATCCAGACCACGACATGATAATAATACAGGAACATGCTAGTTATGAATCTGTTTTACTAGGTTGATTTGACAACTGTAACTGGTTAATATAGGCATTATGGTATAATTTAAAATTGAGTGCAGTGATGAAAATCCACAACAGTTTAAGTTCATCTGACTTTTCATATCTCATCTTGTTGTTCTCTACTTTTTGTCTTACAACACTACGAACGTTCACTAAGTTATTTATTGTAATTCCTTTTCCATTTATGTTGTAGGTCCCTCGTTGATCTGGTTGAATTGCCATACAGTAATGCCGTGTTATGTCTGGATATGTTTTCTTGTGAAATTACACATTACCAGAATAAAAGATTTCATGATTGCCTTGCTATTTCAGATTTGTTTAATTAGCACAGAATCAAACATAAAATCAGAAGTTCAAAAAATAAGGTTGACTTTAAATTCAAGGTTTTGAATAGAAAACCTAGCACATGAACATTCTTCTGGGAGAAATGAGTTGTGCATTACATGAAATGAAATTGACATGCATTCTGTCAAGACCATTAAGCCTTCCTTACAATGTCAAATAAAGTCAGTTTTTCCAACTTCATACAAACAGTCATTTGTAACAATCATCTGAAGATAGGCTTCAAAAATTACATTGCTAAACCTGTAATTAACCGTTCACAATGAACATGATGATTTTCTCTCCAACTGTGTTGCTCTATTGATGAAGACAACAAGTTCTTACAGACAAACAGAAGGTGGGGACAATCCGCTAACGTCTCAGAAAGAAGGACTGATTTCTTTTGGAAACACTTTTCAGAAAAGGTTTAGGTGAAAATAAAGTGTATTAAAGTATTCGAATGAATTCGGCTACACCTGCTTGCTGACTGGTTGTATATTGCAGGCCGTACCTCTTCAAATTACACCCAACAAAGCCAGTAAACGAGTTGTATTCAATCATATTTTTGTTGATAAATTTAGAAAAAGGACTGCAGGGTTGTTTAAACCAATGCCAGCTAACTATAGCTGTCAACGAATTTCAGCCTAATAGAACTCTGTAGTTCTGAACACCAGTTAGTTTTGAGATACCTTTGCAAACCAGGTTTATGGATACTTAATACTTTTTAGTTAGAATTTTGTAAATCAATGTATTTAAGAAGGAAACCAACAAGAAATAGTTTTATTTGAGGTTTTACTCATTGTATTTGCACATTTTATTACAGAAATAATTCTTGTCTACCACAATAAAAAAACCATTCAGTGAGCTTTCTTAGTTGAACGTGCTTAATTCTTTGATGTGTACCAGTTTACGACATGTATTTCACTTAGTTTGAAATATACTCTATTTACATGATATTTGTCTGATTTAAAAACTTTTCACCGAAAAACGTCGAAGTAACGAGTGATTTGTTTGGTAAGTGATGAATTTCTTACCTTTACATTGTTTCTTTATCCTTCTTGTCGGATCCAACCATTTCTGAAATGGAAGACAGTAATATAGCTAAATTCATTTTATTGAGACAAGGGTATAAACAACAAACATAGAATTTTATTCAGCATAATCTACTATGGAGAAGTTCGAAGTTTTCAGAAAGTATTCGTAGCCTGACTCACACAACTAAAATGCGGTAATTTTAGGTATTTTTTCATAAAGATAACTGCGTTCTGTCTATATGAAATACCCATTATTAAGTTAATCAGTAATTAAGTTTTAACATTCCAATGAGGCACAGATATATTCTCTGAAAGACTACGGTTTATTCTAGGTTCAAAAATATGAAATCTATCAGTAAGATATATCATATTTAAAAGAATAAACTATCGTATGGATGAAACTCAAGCAAAGTGCATTTTCGGGAAGTTTAAGCTACATAACATTTCTGCTAAAATATCGAACATTCCCAAAAATTGACACCAAAAATATGTAAGTGAAACCTTTGTTTACAGACACCCATAAAGTTGTGACCTATATTTCATTTCATCTTCATAATCAAATAAAACAATTAGTTCATATTGTATGCCTTACCAGTTGATTAAACGTTTGTTTCTATGCTGTTACCGTTAAGGGTGAGTGCATTAAATAAAAAGGAAGTTCTGAGATATTGTGCGAATAGGGACCTACGACAATAAACTACCAGTTCACTTGCCATAATATTCAAAACCCTAAATGTTAGTTAATTTTGCGATAAAATTAATCCAAAAAGACAAGATATATACAAAACTGAATTTCAGCGATATGTTGTATGCATTCAAAATGAGAAAATTAAAGTAACGACTTCAATAGGAGTAAAATTGCATGTTTTACAAACTTCAAATCAAAAAGATAATCAGAGATATATGTGGAATGTGGTCATATAACAGTAAGCAAATAAACACTAAAAAATCGGACCTAACATTTCATAACATCTACTTTTACATGAGATGTATATCTGAAAACTATGGAATAATACAAAATTACGTTTTAAATGATGCAACTTACAATTAAGTTTCCTTCCTCTGACTCAAAAATTGTAAATACAAGTCCGAAGAAATCCCGTTCAAGTAGCTCAAGATAATCAAATGTCAAATCCAGAAGTGCTTGACCAATGCATCGTTTCTAAAAATCCATAAGATTTACTGTAATAGTCTTACATCAACTCTAAATGCGACAGCTGTAGAATCCAGCAGCCAAATATTACATGTGATGGAATTCTGGTAAACCGATCTATCAACCTGCTCTGCAGCCTCAACATTGTAAGTTCCACTAAACTTGAGCGTCATCTAATGTAACAGCTGTTTGAAAACAATGTATGTTATCTCATCACATTATCAAAATGCATTAAATAGCAATGATTCATGGCGCCATAATACATAATAAATCCATATTTTTCGTTGTCAATAATAAATTGTCAATCAAAAGGAATCATGTGCTTCAATAACAGTGTTACGAACACCTGATTTTTAAAATAATTACGGAAACACGATATCAACCGTAACGCAACAAATTCAAGTATTTGCTTGTTTACATGACTGGTTTAAACGAACCAGCCGGAATATGGACATTGGAAAATGTAACATGCAAGGACTGTCACAACACAATTGTACTTTTTTGTTGGATTTTAAAATTAGAAGCATTGTACCTAACTTTTTTTAAATCGGTTAGTGTTAAAATAAACTTAACTCCCAAGTACAATCTGGAATACGGTGTGCTTCTTGTCGCTTCGTCTTCTCACTAGCCTATGCTGTCTACTTGTTTCACTACTGACCATGTTGTATACTTTGGATTTTGCAGGAACCTCTTGCCCTCATCCGAAGACTATTCTTCAACCGGTGCACAGCTTCTACCAGTAGACACGACTCCAGCAGTGAACGCCTGTGCATTATATTAATAATTTGTAGCAGTGGACCTTAACTGTATAACCAAGTAAGCACTTAGTGTATATAACTCATTACTGTACTTTTAATGATATACTGTTACACTATCATCTCATAAACCTGGACTTTTATTCAAACACTTGTGCTGTTGCTAAGCTTGCTAGAAAGTCCCATACAAGCACACTGGTTAGCGCTCTCGGAAAATGGTATGTAAACCAGAAGGTTGAATTTATCTGTACATTGTTTGGTTTGCGAATGAAACATACACTCTCTAGTTTTTTGAGGCCAAGCAGCCAAAAGTGTTTGAATTACTACATATTTCATTTTAGTTTTCTGACTCGTTTATTGCACTTATTAGAGAAAATTCCCAGCGAGGTTTTCGTTTATTTTTTGAATAATAGGGCAGACAACCTCTAGACACAATCCAATATCCAATATCCAATATCGTTTTTACGAGCTAGTATAAACCAATTTGATTTCTTTGTGCTCGCCTCTTGATTGTGAGGTATAGGTTCTTGATCTTCGGTAAACTTCTGCGTAGCTTGTCCCGCCACTCGACTGTCGTAGCTTTGGTTGACTCCAAAGGGAGTAGTGCTGGGATTAATTATATGTGGTTTGTAGTATGAGGTATGTTAAGACTGTTACTACTGTGATTGGAGTTGATCCTTTCGCCAGTTAGTCCTTCGGTATTGTCGACAAGAGAAAAGAGATAGTAATAATAATAGTAATAATAATAATAATAGATATAATTAGTGAAGCTATTCAGACTAAGAGACAGAAACGAAAATAGGAAACGTAACAACAGTCAGCTCATGAAGTTTGAAGAATAATATATATATCGGTAATAGTAATAATAATAATAATAGTAATTATAATATTAATAAGTTGTCAGGAGAGTAAGACGGGAGAGAATGTAAAGAAGTAAAATGACGAGTTTAATTATCTACCCTGATTGGTAAATGCGATTTTAAGGAGATAGGCCATTTGGATGCAGTCCTTGTATAGCTGCATGGTTGTCCAGCCTTCGCTTAAAGGCGTCCAAAGACGGTGCCATAGCTACATCTGCCGGTAAGGAATTCCAGGGACGACAAACCCGCAGTGAAAAGAAGTGGGAGCGCACCCGGGTCCTTGCCCTCTGGTGAGCTATCCTTCTGGGATTTCCACGTGGAAGCCTATACCTACTCAATGGCAGAACACCTTTGTTTGGGTGATTCTGGTCATTTGTTATTTTGTAGGCAGTAATCAAATCCCCCCTAAGCCGACGGTAACTAAGTGTGAACAGGCCTAATTTCTTCAGCCTTTCATCATATGGTTTGTTTCGGAGACCAACCACTCCTTTTGTTGCCCGTCGTTGGACTCTCTCCAAGAGGTTGGCATCTCTTCTCAGCATTGGGGGTGCAATAATATTATGCACCTCAAGGTGTGGCCTGACGTATGTTTTGTACAACATTAGAAAGAGCTCAGGAGTGAGTGCACCTAACTGTCTATGCGTAAAGTGTATGACCGCATATGCCCTCGCTACATCCCCTGTGTAATTTACGCTTGTGTCCATTTTTTCCGTTAGAACTAGACCTAAGTCGCGTTCCGACGTTGTGCAGGACAAGCTTTCATTGCACAGGGTGTAACTTGCATTCTGCAGTCTACAGGTGCGCAACTTCACTACTTTGCACTTTTTCAAGTTGAAAGTCATGCCACTGGCCACCGCCCAGTCTTCCAGAAGGTTTAGGTCTTCCTGTAGCCTATCTGAGTCCTCCGGACACTTTATCGCCCTCCATATTTTTACGTCGTCAGCGTACAGGAGAGTCGGGCAGCTCAGACGGCGTGGTAGATCATTGATGAAAATCAAAAACATCAGTGGTCCTAGGATAGAACCCTGCGACACTCCTGATGACGATCTGTGCCAAGATGATCGGACTCGGTTAACCTTAGTGCAAAATTGCCTGTCGGCTAGGTAGTCCTTCAACCATGACAGAAGTGGCTCACCTATGCCTGCCTGTCTTATTTTATGTAGGAGAAGGTCATGGTGAACAGTGTCAAACGCCTTCTCAAAGTCTAGGAAGACCACATGGACTGGTACGTTCAAGTCCCAGCATGATGTCCAGTCGTCCCAAGCTGACAGTAGGTTAGTGACGCAGGATCTGCCTTTTCTGAAACCATGTTGGGCTTCATGCAGTATATTAGTCCTATCGAAATATTCCCTGATGTGGTCGTCAATAATACTTTCCAGTACTTTTGATACCACTGGGAGTAGAGCTACTGGTCTATAGCTAGCAGCGTTTTGCCTGTCCCCACCCTTGAAGATCGGAGAAAGGATGGCTCTTTTCCACTCCCTTGGCAGGGTCCCCGAATCCATTGAGTGTTGGAACAAGTCGCACAGGGGTCTACAGAGAGCCTCGGCGCACTGTTTCAGAACAGATGGCCTGATGTCATCACAACCTGGGGACTTCCCAGGTATGAGTCTCTGTAGCTTCCTTAGTACTATTGCGGGGTTTATTTGGGGAGTAGTCGCTAGGTCTTCCTCCTCTGAAATAGTGGTGCCACCATTTTGGTCCGTAACTGTAATATCCACATTGCTGTTTAGCTGTTTAGCGAAGGCTGAACTGAATGTTTCAGCCATCTCCAGACTAGTGAGATATTGACCGTTTGGGCCTACTAAGGCGCATGCCCCTTGGTTTGTCGGTTTTCTTTCCGACATGAATCGGTACAAGTTTTTAGGGTTTGATAGGAGTTTTTTAGCAAGGTTAGCCTGGAATGACCTTCTGTCCCTCCTAACTCTTGCATTACACCGGTTCCTGAGTTCGAGGTATGCATCATGGTCGGTCTGACTCTTAGATACACGCCACGTAAACCAAGCCCTCCGCTTTGCTTGCAGAATACGTTGCGTGCCTCTCTTCAACCATGACGTCTTTCTCTTAGGCTGTGTTGTGACTAAAGGGACGGTATCCGAGATTGCTGCATGGATAATCTTTTTTACCACTTCCCAGTGTTCATCCACAGATAGGTCGTCCCATGCTAAGGGCCAGTCTGCGTCGGACAAGAGCCTCCGCATTTCAGCATAGTCAGCCTTGCTGTAGCACAGACATGGTCGCGTAACATCCCATTGCAAACGCTCACGGAGGACAAGATCGAAACCTATGACTGCATGGTCACTGCTTCCCAGAGGAGTCATGATCTGGACCTTTTCGACGAGTAGCTGGTCACTAGTTAGAATATAATCTAGTTTTGATGACTTTCCACTAGGGCCCCACCTAGTGTCGTCTCCAACATTCTCAGTCAGTCCCGTGTTTCGAATAGTTTGCAGTAGGTTTCGGCCAAATTTTCCCTTAGCACACCCGGAGCCGAGGTTCAGTGATGGAGCATTGAAATCTCCAGCTATGGTGATTTGGTCGTAGCCCAAATCTCGTATTCCTGTGATAGTGCTGAGCAGTAGCTGATTGTGCTCTGCCCCACAGGTGGGAGATCGGTAGATGCCACCCAGTAAGTGCTTGGTGTGGCCTACGGTGAAATGACACCATATGGAGTCTGGGAGTTCGATAAGTGGTGGGTCCGTTGCGCGCACACATTTAAGTTGCCTATCAAAGTATATAGCAACTCCCCCTCCTTCCTTATTATCCCTGTCTCTCCTGACCAGTACCATATCACCTATACTGATTTCATTGTCGGCGATAGTGGGGTTTAGCCACGTTTCAGTAAGAATGATTATTTTCAGTTGAAGGTGCGCTTGGAGATTTCGAAGTTCACCTACTTTCCCTCTCAGCCCCCTCACATTGCTATATAGGCAACTGACAGTGAGTCTAACAACCTCAGAGTGTTGTGGGGTAGTTGACGTGAAACCGTCTGCTGGTGGGGGACTTGATGTTGGAACTAGTTGGCCGATTCCGATAGAACCGGCCCGTTGTAGTTTTTTTCAATGGATTTAGGCAGGACACTTGGGAGACACAGACTATTATTCTCAGAGCTGCATCGCTCTAGTGTCACCGAAGCTTGGGGTCGTATTAAAGCCTCAGTTTGCTGCCTCCTTATATTTCTGGGTCTGCTTTCACAGCATCGGATGTGTCCTCCAATTTTTCCCTTGGTCTCATACCACCGTTGAAGTGATATGGACAACTGCTCCGGGGAGTTGAATGTGACACACAGCAGCTTTGGAGAGTTAATCAATGTTAGATGAGCGGGACGAGGTAGTCGGAAAATGGAGATGGCTCCAGAAGCGCCAGGGGCCATCTGAGATGACAGCCATCTCCATTGTTGTACGTCGTGCATGTGTTTTTCACAAGCAGTGCCGGTTTCCAGCTCCGGAACACCGTGTACCACCATAGAGGTGGAAGGCATCAGTTCCGGTGACTCCCTCGCCATATTTCTGACGGCCCATGGTCTATCTTGCCGCGCTCTTATGTTAGAACTTCTGT